CAACTAAGAGCGGTTCCTTTAATCGCGTTTTGTAAAAAAAAAAAAAAAAAGCAACGAGTCTACATGTGCTCTTTCAGCGTTTGGGAAAGGGGGGGGGGGAGAAGGCGCTTGAGAATCGGGGGAGTTCAACTGCCGGAATTGCGAAAACGTTCTCGAATTCTCCCGAAGTGATTCGCCGAACGAGAATGAAAGAAAAGTCAGCAATGGCGGGAGAAAAAGGCCGTCCTTTCGGAGCCACACGTTGCGCCAGAGAGGTCGGACGTTCAGGGGTGCCGGGAAGAAACCCAGGGCGCGCCGAAGCCTCAGAGGGCTTTTGGAAGCTGAGCGGCCCGGGGAACCCACAGCGTCTGAAACGGGGAAGGGGGATACCTGGGGGAGAAAAGAGGGCAAGGGCACCGAAAAGGGCACACAACCACACAACGTTCACACACCCACTCACCCTCTGCATGGCTTTCAGAATCAAAGCCAACTCATAACGGGGCATCTTTGGAGGAAGAGGAGCAGCTCAGCCCCACCAGACAAGGGGAGTGCGGTGCGGCCACGGATCGAACGCGTCCCCTGGCCCTCAGCTGTAGCGAGCAGGAGGCGGCTGGGTGTTTAAAAGAGCTCGGCTGCTGCGTGCACCCGGCGGGCCCGCCCCTTTGCTCGCGTCAGGCGGTGCTACTCTTCCCCCCTCCCAGGACTGTGGGGAGGAAAGGAGCTTCTCAGGCGGGCTGGTCTCGAATTGTGCCGGCGGTGGGGGGGGGGGGAGACCCTTTATTTCCAACTCCTCCAATTCATAGGAAAGACGACCCCGCGTTTGAAAGCAGGCCCGCTGGCGCTGCCTCAGTTTCCCCATAGTGATGCCCTTCCCGCCTTTTCTGCCGTTTGCTTTCCCCTCCTCTTATCTGTGACCGCAAATACTACTGCAGAGAGTGGAAATTTCCACTGAATCCCGCCCCCTTCTCCTCCTCTTGAAGCTGCATTGCCCTATTGTAGTCCCTCTAATTGTATTTCCATTTTGATGGTTGAGCCTTTCTAAAAACAGTTTGTATTTGGACTGTTTCCGCAACCATTGACATGCCCAAAAAGGGAAAGAGTCAGACAGGAAATTATGTGAATACAATACAGTATATTATCTTCTACTCTTAAATGGGGGGAAGGAAAAAAAGGAAAAACAAATCTGTCCCAACCTTTATGTCAACATCACAGCCCAGCAGAGGATATGGTGTAAATCAGCTCCAATTTGCTATTCGCTCCAAAGATACAGAGACAGAAGGTTGGTCCTTACCTGAACGTTTCTTTTCTGTAGATGAGGCGGGAGGGGCTACAGCTGGGTTTAGTCACAGCCTGATTGGTCCAGAGACTGAGGGAATTTTCTTAAAGTAACCTTCCTTCCCTATTGGCTCCCAGTTTCCTCCAGTTCGAATGGAAAAGCTGCGAAAATATAATGCAGGCAACAACAAACACCTGACCGCCCCTCGCCCTGCCTAACTATAATGACTAGGGCGGGATGTAGCCTCTACCGCCTCATCTACAGAAAAAAAACATTCAGGTAAGGACCAACGCTCTTTTTCCTGTAGATACGGCGGGAGGGGCTACAGCTGGGACATACCCAAGCTAAGTCCCAGGGCAGAAAATAGACCCCGGGGGAGGGAAGGTCACCACCTGTTGGAGAACCCAACGACCGAAGGACATGTCTGCTGAAGCGAAACGATCCAGTCGCTAGTGTCGGATAAAGGGCGTTGGGGAGGCCCAGGTGGCCGCCCTACAGATGTCCTCTAGAGGAGCCCGAGTGGCCCACACGGCCGTCATAGCGGCACTTTGAGCAGAATGGGCCATGATCCTTTGAGGAGGATCTTTACCTGAGGCTACATAAGCTTCCGGGATGGCCTGTCTTAACCACCTGTCTATGGTAGCAGAAGAAACCCTAGCCCCCAGGGTACTAGGCTGAAAGGATAGAAAGAGAGCCTCTGACCTGCGAAAAGGCAGTGTTCATCTGAGATAATAGCAATAGCAATAGCAGTTAGACTTATATACCGCTTCATAGGCTTTTAGCCCTCTCTAAGCAGTTTACAGAGTCAGCATATTGCCCCCAACAACAATCCGGGTCCTCATTTTACCCACCTCAGAAGGATGAAAGGCTGAGTCAACTTTAAGCCTGTCAGGATCAAACTCCTGGCTGTGGGCAGAGTTTGCCTGNTTGCTATTGCTATTGCTATTGAGGGCCGCATCAAGGCTGTGGTTAACCTTGGGGGGGGGGGCTGGGGTGTGTGTGGCCATCTTGATGCCGCTCCCCAAACTGTTGGCATGTTTCCTCTTTGCATTGGGTAGACCGGTCCGAATCTACATTGGCCTGGTCTTTCCTCTTTGCACTGGGTAGACCGGGCCGAATGCACGCTGGCCCGATCTTTCCTCTTTGTATTGGGTAGACCACCACAGCCTCGCAGGCTGGTTCCGACCACATCGCGGGCCAGATGCAGCCCACAGGCCTTGAGTTTGACACCCCAGATTTAGACAGAGAGATGTTAGTATCTAAAGAGGAAAGATATGGATAATCTTGTAGATATAATTATAACTAAAATGTGGCTTAATCTATTTGCCATAAATGTATGCAGTTAGCATAGCTAATAGTATTATATGATTTTCAAAGGCAAATAAGAAGTGTGGTTAAGTTTTTTCCTAAAGCAAGACTGTCTAACGCTGAATTGCTTTTTTCCTATTTGTCCCTGGCAACCTAGGTTGATAGTGGATACATTAAGGTTTTTATTACAACCATAAGATTGCTTTTAAAATGTGTTTGTGTTGAATACATACTCTTAATTTCCAATTATTGTTGTGTACCTTCATTTGAGTAAAAGGTGATGCCTCTTTCAAGTCAGTTCTTGATTCTACTTCTGATTCTACTACACAGAGAAGTCTAATTTATTTATTTATTAATCATATTTGTATAACCTCTCATCTCACAAAAGGAACTTTGGGCGGTGTGAACAGTCAAATAAAACACCAGATATAAAAATCTACATTAAAACATAAATATTATAAAACTGAATTTACAGACCCTAGGCAAAGAAGATAAAAATAGCTACTTTAGCAACGGAGTTTCCGAACATGTCTTCTTCAGTCTATGTAATTGGCTCAATAGCACATAGAAGTGCTTTCCTCCAAGATGTTTATGCTTCCTATCACTGGGATTTCTTGGTTGTCTTCCATCCATGTGGCCTCACACTATAGATGTAGGTAAAATTATCCAGGTACTGTCATTGCTGAGACTTTGGTATATATCACATAAAACCTGTGTGTGTGTGTGTG